CATTAGACTAATAACAAAAGAATGTTTTAAGCACAAAATCAATTTACTTTCATTTGAAAAGAGGACTTTGGACCATTGAGCAACAGTTCAATTCCTGTTTTCTTTAGCCTAGGTAAGACTCTTCTGACATCGTCTCTGGTTCAGGAGTGGCTTGACACGAGGAATGCAACATTTTTAGCCCATATCTAGTATTCATCTGTGTGTAGCTCTTGATGCACTGACTCCAGTCCTCAGTCCATTCCATGTGAAGCTCCCCTAATTCTTGAATGAGTTTCGCTTCATAATCCTCTCATGGCGCGGTTCTCCCTGTTGCAGCTTTCTCTACCACATGTCTTCCTTCCACTCAATTTTCTGTTAACATGCTTGAATACGGAACTCAGTGAACAACTAGCTTCTTCAGCAATGACCATTTGTGGCTTACCCTCCCTGTGAAGGCCCTTGATGACTGTCTTCTGGACATCTGTCCAGTCAGCACTTATTGTGCAGTGGAGGAACAATTTCAACTCCTGACTCACTATGGGGGGGGGGGGGTGTCAGAGTGAGATGGTTTTACCCGAACGTGGGGCTGTGATGTAAGCATGTACCAAATTGTACCATTTCAACCAATAGGAAAATTCAACTGCAGTAATCACCGTTCAACCCAAAGAGAATAGCACTAAGATGGTAACACAAAGATAGCACCATTAAGGCCCAATTTATGCAGCTAATCTGCATTAAAAAGTTGATATGGGGTTTAGTACCTCTGTAATCGTAACCCTATATTTAATCTTCCCTTTTTATCTCAAATGTTTGGCCAAAAAGTAGTAGAAATGGTAGAAACATGATCTCTCTCTCTCTCTCTCTCTCTCTCTCTCTCTCTCTCTCACAATAACAACAGCACCACACTGTCCCCATCAGTGTAGTTCATCATAATCATCACCATCACTATAAAATCACTTCAAGTAAAGAAATACTGTAAAATCATATATACAGTATAAATATACTAATTTACTTCATTCAGAAAAGACTCACTGCTACAGAATCAATGCAACTTAAATATTGCAGCCGTGACACATTATTAAAAGTAATTAATTTTACAGTATGTCATGTAGATGCTTCACTCACTTTAGGATGTTGAATGCTTGAAAATGAAACATGCCATCATAGTGTTCATAGAGCATTGAAAATTCATACATATAGTTTCATTAAAAGCCTCACTAAGGTCAATTCTGAAAATAGCAGCCATTTCCCCATGGAGTGAGGCAAGTAGCTGACTTTTCAAGTTGGAAACCTGATCTGAAGTACAAGTGTAGTTTGCTCTGGTCCAGGAGAAGAGTTAATACAGGGGGCGGGGACTGAGACTGCGGAGCAGACCGCTCAGATGATATGGACGAGTTACTCCTAGAATAAGGTCATATTAAAGTTAAAGACTTTTTAAGTTACGAAAACCTGAATTTCTAACAGCAATGTGTGGCCTTTCGACATCCAATGTAAGAACAATGGCATTATATGTAATATTTACCAGTTTTATGTATTTATTCATTAGTTGTTACATTCACCTGGTAGCTGAGTTGTTTTTTTTCTGTGATGTTTATAATGTGTAATCCCAGTGTATTGTTCAATAGTTCAGAAATGACTTGTTGCAGTAGAGATCTTCTTTGCTGACATCACATCAAATAGACATTTAAAATAGTAACATCCTTTATTTTACCTCAGTGGGAAAATTCAGGTGTAACAGCAGCAAAGTAACAGGGAAATGGTAGCTCACAGATTCAGAAAAAGGTAAAAAATATAAAAACAAGAAAATAACACTGTACAGTTCAAAAAATAGCATACTCAGAATAAAAGTGATAGAGTTAGAAAGCTGATAAACACAGACAAGTGTAAAATAAGACACAAGAGAACCAAGTAAGTTTGACTTGCAAGGGTGAGACAGTCCTCTGCCAAAACAATGACTTCCTTCTCACAAAGAGAGAAATCCTTGCACCAGCCATTTATTTACAACTCACATTCCTACAAGCAAAAAGCGGGAATTGGTTCAGCCAATTCTTACAGAGATTTCAACATAAAAGTGTAGACATTCCTATATATGGTATAAGCTTGTCATGTCCAGGGAGTGATCCACTCCAGACTGCATTCCTTAACTTTCCACAAACTCTTTTTCACACTAAAAAAGCAATGATAGGAATCATCTTAACTATAGTAGAACTTCAGACATAAACATGACTTAAACTAAACAATGATAACTTATATACATTCTTCCAACACAAAGAAATGTGTAACTGAGTAGGATAAATTTAAAAAGTACAAATTGTGCAAATAATAGCTGGGGTGTAAACAACTTATTGGGTGTGCTGGGAATGATGATGAACAGCTGCTGGGAGGAACGATCTGTGATAACGCTACTTTGTGCATCTAGGCATCAGCAGTCTGTCACTGAAGGAGTTTTAGTGTGTCTGTGCCTGCAGAAATCCACCACCAGCTCCTTGGGTTTTTTCCTGTTGATCAGGAGGTGGTTCTGCTGCCATCAGTCCTCAAAGTCCTGTGTCCACTGTCTGTACTCTGAGTCGTCCTCACCTGTGATGACCCCTCTGTTTGCCCTGTTTCCTGTCTACCTACTGTCGAAAAACTGAAAAATAAAGGCCTCCAGTGCCGCAAAAAAAATATTTTGTCAAAAAAACAAAGAAAATAAAGACAAAGTTGTCTACAAAGTGGTCAGCTCCAAGCAGGGTGGAAGAAACAGAAACACATAACATGTCCAAACATTTAAAAAGAGAAAACTCAGGACTGAATAGGAGCTGCTGCCTGTTCGTGCATCTTTGAAAGAGTTAGGCGGAGATATTTATCTGTACATTTAGTGGAGATAAAAGTTGAGCTACGAGAACAGTATATACTATATTTTTCTCTCAGTTAAAAAAAATAAACCTTATGTTTGTACAGATGTGTGCTTTATGGGAATCCGCTGCTAAGAACTTCTCCTCCTCTTACTTTCCTTTTCTATAAAGTATTTGATTGTGGATTTGGTGCCAAACGTTAGATTTTCTTTTCTGCTCCCGGAAGTTCTCACCATCTAGACAGTGGGTTTGGGTTTTGGCCTAGCAGCACTGAGAATGTAAGTGTTTGCTGCTGGCCAGTTATAGCCACATTGATCTCCCCGCTTTTTCTTCATTAGCCCCACCAGATGACACAAAAACTTGTCCACATCCTCCACATCAACAGAGCACTATGTAACCAGACTCCACAGTGTTGTGCTTACTCGTGCGTCTGATACGGTATGTTCGCCACCCAAACTGAAACTGTGGCTCAACAGTTAAAAGCCCCTTTGATTACTGTTCAAGCTGATTAAAGTAGAAATGGGTGTGTCTTATGCACATCAGATAAATAGCTGCTGGGAAAATTAGGTGATAGGCTGACTTTATAAACTTTATTCCTGCATTTTGTTGTTTCTTGCAGATCTGCTGTGGAAAAAACAGTTTTTGTTCTTTGAAATATATAAAACATCTGTCGCACTTCATCTTGCAATCTAAATATATGGCAGCACAATGTTAGAAAGACATTTAATTGGGACATGTTTTACTTGAAATTATGATTTTGATATTATTTGTGATTAATAATCACAGATAAAGTGATAATGTGATGATGATTGTGATTGAATATGTTTGGTAACGCAATATTGCGTGTAAGTTAGGGGATTGAAAAAATTAGTGCAAGCTTAAGGCACATAAATAAGGCTCATTTTGTGAAACCTCAAGTCTGGCCACACGTATCAAGTATGTGTTTAGGTCATGATGTCTTGCAGGGGGCTTGTGTATTGGGATGAAGGGAATAGAACTTAGTTACCGTAAATTCCGGATTATAAGCCGCTACTTTTTTCATACACTTTGAACACCTCGGCCTATACAACGGTGCGGCTAATGCATGTTTTTTTTCATGCCGCCAAAAACATTTTGCCTGGTAACAGTAGACCAATCACATTGATGAGTAGTTCACAGAGGTCCAATGAACTTGTCCGATCAATCAAGAGCCCTTTCACAATTCAATTACCAGTACTGTAAATCAGACATATATATTCACCCTCATCAACATGGAAAATCACCAACGAGTTTAAGGCTGGACTGCTTTGTGATGAAGGGGACCGGGTGTGCTCAAGTGAGAGCGACAACGAAGGGGCTGAAGTGAGTGACGAGATCCTGAGGCTGTTCAATTCGGACACTGAAGAACAGGACTTTGATGGTTTCAGTGTGCAGCAAGAAGATGAAGAAGGCGATCAATGACTTTTGACCTGGTAGGCTGCAGTGTATATCAGTTAGGAGATATTGGAATGTTGTTTGTGTGCTGTTCAGTAAAAAAGCATTAGCAACAAAATTTGTGTGTTACTGATAACGTACGTATATTTAAAGGTAGCCATGTTAGCCTAGCCACTGTTCGAAAAAAACATTTGCAATATGCATTTGTTTATATTACCATACGGATTAAGTTAAAAGTTAAAAATTCCTCACGTGTAATATCTTTCTGTTTAAATCATATTACAACGTGGGACATCCGGTGCGGATGTTAAGCCACATGCTGGAGTGAAATCATTAAACAAAATCTGTTAAGAGAAAACATGACCACAGAACATTAAGTTTTTAAAATGAAACAGCCAGTGGTTTGAAATTATGCTTCACTGTTCCCCTTTTATTTATGCATGCACGAGGGTTTCTTGCTGAATGAATTTTCTTAAAACCTGTGGGTATACAGAGTAACTTTCAGTACCATACTATAAACATCCAGTATTCATTTCCCCAGCTGTTCAGTTTCAGATTAGGAGCCTTTGGAAGGATAGGAGCTGAAGTGTAATCCCACTGAATTCACTCACACTGTGCAACTACTGGAACAGAGCAGGATACATATTTTAATACTAAAAGGCATTCAGGTGTTGGACATGAGATTTTTTTGTTTGTTTGGGCACTGGTGGGATTTATTGTGCAATAATAAGACTGGAAAGAGGGTGTAGAGAGAAGTGGAAGACATGCAGCAAATGGCCTGAGACCGGGAAACGAACCCAGGACAACCTTATCGAGGACTATAGCATCTGCACATGGTGCTCTAGCAACTGAGCCACCAGCGCCCCGAACACAAGGTTTTGATTGTGCTTGCTCTAGTGGATCTAGTCAGTATCAGCACACACCCTTTAAACCTTTTCACTTTTTATCATGTTCCAACCACAAACATCTGAGTATGTCGTTCGATTTCATCTGTCAGACCAACACAAAGTAGGTTACACTAGGTTAATTTCTTTCTGTAGTTCCACTGTTTTTATTAAACTTATGCTTTAATTGGCAATACATAAAAAAGCCATTTTTTTCATAATAATATTTCTCTCTGAGTTTCTGAAAGGATTCCAAGCCCTTTTCAGTTGATATAGCACAATTCAGTTCAATCAAAGATACTTTATTGATCCCCGAGGGGAAATTAGAATTCCAGTACAACCCATCCAAACATACATCATGACACAAGACAAGGGGGGGACGGGTCACCGAGGCTTTG